CTATCTATCTATCTATCTATCTATCTATCTATCTATCTATCGGATTGTTGGGGGCAATATGCTGACTCTGTAAAACCGCTTAGAGAGGGCTGAAAGCCCTATGAAGCGGTATATAAGTCTAACTGCTATTGCTAATATGGATGTCAAACACATGGCGTCATGTTGCCATCACATCATGTTTTATGACATTTTCCCCTTCACGGAGCTGGAGTGGGCATGGCCTATGTCTTACGGATCCATCACGTGGGTCGCTAGTTTGACACCCTTGGTTTAGAATAACAGAATTTGAAGGGATTTTGGAGGTGTTGTAATCCAACACTGCCCGAGCAAGAGACCCTATATCAGTGATGGAAAACCTTTTTTGGCTGCTGTGCCAAAAGCGGGGGGAGCACAGGAGGGTCATGAGCCAGCATGCCACACCTATAATGCTATATGCATGCACCCCCCAACGTTTGCACATGGGCGTGATCACTGACCCCTCTGCTTTTGCCGTGGTTTTTTTGCCTTCCCAAGACTCCAGTAGGCTTTCTAGCACCCTGGGGAGGGTAAAAACAGCCCTCCTGCTGGTCTCCGGATGCCCTCCGGAGACCTCAGGAGCTTGCGTGAAACCTCTAGAGGGCAAAAAATGGACCTATGGGAAACCCAAGTCACCATTCCTGAACTTCCAGTTTCCCTGTAGGGCCAATTTTCGACCTATGGAACCTTCAGGGGCCTTCAGAAGGCTTTGGAGGCTGAAAACAGTCCTATGAGCAAACCAGAAGTAACTTCCATTTTATCTGTAGGGTCATTTTTCACCCTCTGGAGCCTTCAGGGAAGCCTCCTGAAGGCTCCAGAGAAGCCTCCTGAAGGCTCCAGAGAAGTCTCCTGAAGGCTCCAGAGGGCAAAAAATGGTCCTATGAGCAACCCGGCAGTCTATTCCCAAACTTCCGGTTTCCCCATAGGACCGTTTTTTTGCGCTTTGGAGGCTTTAAGGAAGCCTCCGGAGGGCAAAAAATGGCGTCAATGCGCACTGGCCCTTCTGTGTAGGATGTAATAAGTGTAGATTGTAGAAATTTGGGTGAATTATCTCAACAGTATTTTTACAGCATAGAAATCAATCTGGACTCCATACAATAATTGACCCAACTTTTAGCTTGTCCGCCAGCAGTTGAAACCAGGAGCCAGGATAGAGTTCAAAAGTATGCAGCCTATACACACGAATCTGATCTACTAACGATCAAACCAAACTGGCACTAGATAAGAGTCAACTGAGTTCAGGGGGGCTGGACTTGTCACTTAGGTCAATTTGGGAAGTGTAGGGACTGCAAACTAATAATGCATTTGACCCTATGGTCAAATGATGCTGGTACATGCATGAAGCCCAGTTCTGCTTTCTTTTCCAAATCATCATTCAAGTATACTTATAGATACCATAATTTCACTAAATCTCCTTCTCCCCCACTCAAAAACACCATATCTAGTGATGTCCAAACAGGCAATCAGGTGACATCTTTAACATGTTTCTTATTTAGTCCTCTCGCCTCCTGGCAGTCATTGAAAACAATGTTGATATTTTGGAGGAAAATGTGAAAAGCAGAACATTAATCATAAGAGAGAGAGAGAAAATCAGAGCATTAATAATCAGAGAGGTACTGCATGATATGTAAAGTTGGTGTGTGAATCAATAGAGATCGAGGTACAATAGAGTACTTCAGTACTCGACCGCTTCAAAACTCGTTGAGTTTGGTACTTGACACATTTTGATGCAAAAATGTTCTGGCACTCATTATTTGTTTGATATTCAATGTGTTGCGATAGGAAAAAGGGAACAGTTGCAGAAAGCAGATAGAAAGTTGACCATGATAGGAACATTGCTGACATAGAAAAAGAGACAGACAGGGAAAGAAAGGGTCTCGTGGTAAGTCATGTGATTTGTTTGGAACTCATAGTCATTGGAGGTGTTACTTGAAACCCTGATATTCATCATTTTAGTACTTATCATGCTTCATGGAACCAATTAAGAATAAGTACCAAGGTACTCCTGTATTTTGCAGTGCTTAGACTGCTGTCCTTGAATCCCAATGAGCCTAATTCCCATTCTTGTTCAACCATGCAATTCACTGTGTGATCTTGAGTCATCATTAGCTTGACCCAACTCTCAGTTACAAATAGAAGAATCCAAGTCTTAGGAGCCCTTGTGTCATGGTTCCGAGCAATGAACCAAATGAATCTGGACTGAGAAGTTCCATTCAGGCTTGAAAGACCTTTTATTGAGTATATCATATCAGCACTTAGAAATTTGAAGCTAACCTTTGGTAATTCCCATGCTTCAGAGTAATAAAAAGAATAGAAACTTCCCATCCCCTCAGTGTCTTGGTCACGTTAACCAATCAATCCAGTGGGACCTTCCCCTCGGTCTCAGCAGTTGTTCGTTGCCATGATTTTGATTCACATGTTGCATCTGGTCAATGTACCACATTCCAGATCCTTCTAACTCCGCCCCTTCCCAAAGAATGGCAACTAAGAAATGAAACAAACGTAAATATGGCCTCAGTCATAGTTGTTTCGAAGTTGACACTGTGTGAAAAACAAATGTTGTTAAGTAAGTAATCTTCATCTTCCATTTTTATATCTGTAAGAGGGCAACTTCGGTTTCCATTTCTGGCATCTAAAGCAATTAATCCTAAAAGGGAAAGGTTGGTAGTTCTGTCTAAATGGCTATTTTGTATCTCTGACTTTGGCATGATTATATGTGGGAGTGGATGAAGAATAGTGCAGCATTTGTTTTTAATTGGGAAAAGTCACCACTGCTTTGTTAACCTATATACTCTAGTAGTATATTCTAACATTGGGCAAAACATTGGACAAAACATTGGACTAGATAATTTTCAAGGGTAGGGTTACAGCCAACCTGATTTTCAACCCTTGTATTCTATGCTCCATA